CCCCCCAAACCCCTCAAGCATGTGTAAAAGTGCCCACTGTTTTTAAGTGACACTTAATGTGCATTAGCCTATCTTAATGTGCGTTAAGCTAATAGCATGTTTTTAGTGATGCTTTAATGCGCATTAAAGCAGGCTAACACACATTAAAACTCCTGTGTAGACACACCCTGTGTTAATTTGCATGCTGCCTTTAACCTGGCTATCATCCACCCACAGAGATCTGTACTTATAGTTTTGTGGTTCTTTAAACTTGAGCGCTCTGGACCATCAGAGAGGTAGGGTTTAAAGTTTGAGTGTTGCAGGGGGGTTGCAGCTCCAAGTTATCATAAGTCATTAGCTATTAAAGCAGTGGCACTGCCAGTTGCAGACCAGGTCATCATCAGCTATTTTGTGTGGGTGCTTTCACTTGAGGTAGGCTATCAGGTGGAGTAACTTTGAGTACGCTGACTCAAACTTAAGTATTGCAAAGACTTAGTCCTAAGACTGTCCATGATAGCATGTTGTAACCTTTAGATCGGGGTGCCCAAAGTTTTTATGCTGCAGCCTGGCAAACTGTGGCTCAGCAGTCACAGTCAACCAGCCGGAAGATGGGTAAGGATACCCCCCCACCCCCTGGCTGGGGGGGGTGGGCCATACCCTGTGCTGCCACAGGCCCTGCAGAAGGAGCCATGACCTCTCCGGCTGGCTCTGGGGGGCCACGGTTTGCCGGTCCACGGCCAATTCTGGGTTTGACCGTGCTGCAGACTGGCAACCGGATTGAGAACCCCTGCTTTAGATTATTCAGTGTTTGTCTTCCTGTTTGTAGTGCAACAGTTCTGGAAGCACCTGTCTGGACAATCTATAGCTTTTCACCTGAAAATAAATAGCTGTTTGGAGCTGTATGTTCAGTTTTCTGGAAAGGGAAAAAGTCTCTCTAAAATATCACCTAGTCCTTTGTACAACTGTACTGAACAACAGGACCATTAAATGTAGTAGCTGTAATTGAAGTGGACAAGAATGCATGAATGCATTTGGAGTTAATATAGTGCTTTACCTTCACCTTTTTGCCAGGCTAATAATTTCCTTGTTAGGAAAGGGAAGATTTAAACAATTTTACTATTCTTTAGTTTATATCAACCTGGATATGTTTTGTTTCCTTGTATTACTTTTTATAGGCTCCTGCTCTTTTTATAAAAATGTTAAAGGGGTATTTTTATGTTGCTGAAATGGTGGTTTGCTTTTTTTTTTTTTTAATTACTAGGTTTGTTTTTGTAAAATATTCTGTTTCAGAAGTTGTGAGTACATGCAAGCTGAAACATCTTTTATTCTGTTAGTTGGCATTATGCTGTTGACTTGGTTGTTTTAGATGCACCCTCATTCTTTAACCACTTGCAGACAGTTTAGAGCTGGAGCACACACCAGCACACAACACAACCGATACCAGTGTAATAAGCTCTGGGATGTTTCTTGGTTCATACTCCTTTATACAGCATAAGGAGGGAAATAGTTAATTTAGTTAATAAGAGGATATGCTTGTCTATAAAAGTATGTTAAATACATGCAAGTAATCAAAGCCAGAATATATTGAAGAGTGCAAAGAATAAAAGAGATTTTAATGTGATTAACCTCCAAACTGAGACACTATCTCTAGAGATGTGGGCAGTAAACTAACAGTAACATTTAAACTCTTCAGCCACACCTACAGTAACTCTTAAAATGGGCTTTCAAGGTCCTTCTGACTCCTCTGGAGTGCTTGCAGCTTAAACACTTAGTGTAACAGCACTTTGGGCAGAAAAAGAAATCTGCCTGAAGACAAGTGCAAATAGCAAGTCTGCTTTATTGGTCACTCATTCTGGGTTTAGGTTTAATGGTGAACAGTCCGCTAGATTTCTGTAATCCTTAAAATAGCTGAAGATGGTAGAAGCAAAGAGAAAAGGAAAGGGTTTTTTTTTGGGGGGGGGGGGGGGGGGGGGGGGGGG